TGTCTGGTCATCATTTATGAACATTAGCTATTTTGGTGTCTCAGATTGGGATATAGATTAGTAGGTAGAGACCACACCCACCCACCCCAGTCTCATTACAAGTTGGATTTAAAGTTCCCAATTTATTTTAACGTTTTTGGAAAGGTGACAGAAGCGAGGTGCCTGGCCACACAGAGTAGAAGCCAGATTGTACATATGCTGGCACAATTTCCCAGCAGCCTCAAGTGCCACATGGGAACACGGAGTTGGTAATGACACTCCACTGGTCTTAATTTTGTCTCCTGTAACAGCCCTTACTTAATTGAGTCTTATGTCACTATTTAGGAAAAGTTAACATGAACAGTCTTGACTGTAACAGAAAAAGATGGCCAAGTTTCCTTGTTCGTGAGCCAAACTTAGCACACCAAAAATGGAGTCAGAGCTGCCTAGTGTCCTGGAAAGTCTAGTTCTACATAGGCTGCTCTCTGACTAATGATATAATTTTATTGTGTATGAGAGTTTGGTTGGAAGATCATGATTATAATTTATTTCCATACAGTTACCACTGAATTGTGAATATGTATATTTCCTGGTTAATATAGAATTAATTCCAGTCATTCCAGATATGATATTGCTAATTGATATGAAGGAAATAAATATATTCCTTTCTCTACTATTGGGGTGCCCAGTTCAGTGTGGCAAACAACTCATGCAGTTTTTAAAATGTTCTAGCTCAATTTGTGCTGAAAATTGTCACTCTCTTCCTTCCTTTCTTCTAGGGAGTGTTATGGGCACAGGAATTTTTATTTATTTGATGTTTTACAATCAGTTATGGTCATTTGTTGTGATGTTCGAATCTTCATTATGTCCCAGAGCTGGCCAGTGGGAATCTGTTCACCTGTCGTCTTGGCACGGCTCCTTCTGGGTATGGGTGTTCCCTTGCTTTCTATTACAACAGAATTTCCCCATCTCACCTTGTGCTTTCCCTACTATCAACTTGCAAACAGCCATTTCTCCAAGGAGTCCTGGTTTATTTCATTAAGGAATAATAATATTTAGAAACTCACACCTGAGACCAAAGATGTTCATTGCAAATGGAATGTCATTGTTTCTAAGCCTTTTCACTGGCTGGAGCTTAGGAGAAATATGTATTTTAATTCGAAGTTTATGTTCACATTTCCAACTCAAGTTAACATGACTGGGGTTTTTCCTTGACTTCTTTGATTTTCTTATTGTATCTCCTTTCTCTCACATTGAAAACCTTGGTTCCTAACAACATTAATATATTTGTTTTGTCCCACAATATGTATAAAATTGTTTCAGAATTACACTACCAATATTATTACTAATAGTAAAACAGTTGAATGAAATTAAATATTACTTTGTATTTTTTTGTTCTTGGAATATATCCCCCTAAGCATGGTCAGTTTACTGTTTTCAAGTCATTTAAAATATTTGCTCTCTGTTGACAAGGTTACCAAGTTGGTGTTTTAGATACATTGTTTCAGGCTATTTTCAGAATTAGAATTTGCTTTTTTAATGTTCTAAATTTTATGTTTAACATGTAGAAAGAATGTTAACATAATTTAAAAATGAAACTATATAAAAAGGTATATTCAGAGTAGTTTTACTTTCCCCACCCATTTTCTTTACCCATTTTTATTAATTTCTGTTTTATCCTTCTAGTGTTTCCCTTTGCAAAAATAAACTCTTAGGTACACACATACATGTGTTTGTGTGAAGTTATGTGCGTGTGATACATGTATTCCCCATCCTTTCTTATACAAAATATACTGTTCTCTACCTTCCTTTTTGACTTAATATATCCTGGAGATTACTCCTTATGAGTAGGTAGAGATCCTCCTTTTTTAAAAAAAAGCCAAACAGGGGTGGCTCAGTCAGTTAAGCATCTGCCTTCAGCTCAGGTCATGATCCCAGGGTCCTGGGATCAAGCCAGGATCATAGTTAACTCAACCAGTTCCCTAGTAATGCACATTTGGGTTTCTAATACACATATTGAGCTATTTTTAAAGTAACTTTTCTAAAACGTTTAAACTGTTCAGTGTGTTCTCATTGCGTACAATCCAAACTTTATACGATGTCCTCTAGTACCTGGCCTTTGCATACCTCTTCAACCTCCTTTCATACCACATCTTCTCACCCACTAACTCAGTGCCTTACAAATCAGATGTGACTTCTTCACACCTTCCCTGACCATCTTATCCAGTGTAGTTTCTTTTCTCTTGCCATTAATACTTCACTCTGTTTCCTTACAAGCAGTTAAAAGCAATCTGAAATTACCTGGTTGTCTTAATTTAGGTGGAATCATGTAGTGGCTTAGAGCTAGGGTTTTGAGCCAGGCTACTTGATTTTGAATCCTAGTTATATGACCTTCGACTGTTACTTAGCACTCTGTGCCTTAGTTTCTTCATCTGAAAAAGAGAATAATAATAGTATTTTCCTTATAGTGCTCTGTGTGAAATGAATGGTTAGTAAATATAAACACTTGTGCATTTGCCAGCACTTACTAAGTATAAAATAAATGCTGGCCATATAGGTATTTTTATTTAATTGTTCATTGTCTTTCTCCCCTCAGTAAGCTGTGTGATAGCAAGGAGCTTGTCTGAGTTGTTCCCCGCTATAATCTCAGGATTTAGAACAGTTCCTAAGAAATAGTGGGCACTTTTATAGTTGTTGCTGAATGAATAATACTTAAAGTTCAATTCCCTTTTCTGTGAAACATTCTTGGAGATTTGAGACTAAAAGAATGTTCTCTCATATACATCATATACAGTTGTCAAATTCCACACGTATTTTCGTCAGATTTGTCATCAAAATACTAATGCCTACTATTAACATGTATCTCGGAAGTTCTGGCCAATTAATTATTAAAATCTGAAACAACTAAAAACTTATTCCTATCAGAAAAAGGACAGAATTATCATATTTGCTTTGATGCAATTATACATCCATGAAATCCAAAAGGATCAACTAAAGTCCTCTTAAAATTGAGTAAATGATCAGATTTGAACTATATATAAAGAGATTGTTTTCTAGCAGACTGGTAATTACCAGTTAAAGCCATAATTGAAGTAATGTACTATTCTACAAGAGGAGCAAAGAAATGCAAAATACTTAGCAATATTCCTAACCAGAGATATTTGTGGAATGTATCTTTTCATAAAGAAAATTAGAAAACTTAAAGAGATAAGAGGTTTAGAAAAGTGATGACACACCCCATTTCCAGATGATAATATTGAATATTGTAGAAACTAAAATTTCTTAGTTTTCCAAAATCTTCAAATTATATCACTGTAATGTTGATATATAAAAGTACATATATAAATATGTTAAATTATTGCAAACCAAGCTCATTTGTATTTTTTACTAAATCTTGTCATAATTATTTTAAAGTTTATGTAGAAAATGTTTGAGAATGAACAGAAATGTTTTGGTGGCCACTCTTTAACAAAGATGCATAACACATTATCTGCTAGCAGCTAGGGGAGAACAATACTCCTACAAATCCAATGACTTTTAATATAGTAATATTATGTGTGACATACTTCTGAGGTTACCCAAGTGTGCTATAAATGTCTCACTAGCAGATAGGAGAGTGCATCATTTACATTTACAGCAAGGAATCTAAGATACAAGAGAGGTTGTATTTACCCAGAGTTTCAGGGCGTGTCAGAAGAGATCACATCAAAATTATTAACAATTCTAAGTAAGTTTTAAATAATAGATGTAGAAAAAAATAAATTTCCTATTTAATCTGTGTATGGTCTAGGATGACTACCTTGTTCCAGTTTGCCTAGGATTTCCTGGTTTTAACACTGAAAGTCTCATGTTCCAGGAAACATGGGCAAACCATTATGGTTGATCACCCTCATACAGTTCATAGAAAAGATACTTATGTCTGTAAATAGTATTTCTCATAAAATGGAAAGACATGGAAGACAAGTGAAACCCATCTAAGGCCATCTTGGAGTCCCCAGGCCACATGTTCTCTTGGTACACAGAATTCCTACAGGAGGCTTCATCAGTTCAGGGAACTTAAGATTTGGGTTCACTCAAGAATCTATGCATAGTAGGATTTGGTAAGACTCCCAGCAATCATCTGCAAAGTGAGTAGGAGGATTGAGGCCATTGCGGCTTCTATCTCACAACTAATCTCTGAGCTTATGATAGTTGTTGTATGTTGACTTCTAGAGTAATTTTTCCTTTATGCTGCACTTCTCAGGAGTCATTTTTCTGGGGATTTGTTTACTTTCAATTCTTTTGCTGTTGTCTTTCTAAATATATCTATCAGTGGGAATATTTTACTGCGTATTAATGTACTTATTTCTTGCCTTTATCTACAAAGGAATTAAGGTGATATATTAGTATACTATAGAAGTATGTCAATAGAAGATCTAATGTCTTTTATATGTATGTGTGTTTTATATAGCTATTAGTTTGACAGGTGTGTTCTATATCTTAATGGGATTGTCCTCTTTATAAAATGAGAAAGAGGGAGTTGTTTCTTTTTTCAGTTTTTTTTTCCAGATTAGAAATACTTTAAAAATTCTAACCACCATGTAAAATACTTTAGAAATTGACTAGAAATGTAAACCACATTTACACCACTTTAGGTCTTACTTATTATAAAGATTTTCAAAGCAATATAGTAGAGTATAACTCAAGTCCCAGTCATAATCCCAAGTCATCCTTGGGTATGCACTGGGAAGATGGCTGGTTTACCAACCTTAATTTATAGATCACAGATGATAATACTTAAATTTGCTGACAATCGCATCAAGTAAGATCACAAGTTGGTGAGAAGAAGATGTAAAATTATGAAGTTATTTATAAAGCTGTTGCCTAAACCTCTGCTGAAAATTTCCTACAGAATATAAAGTGTATTTGTAATAGGTTATTTTGCAGTCAGCCTGTTGAGATCTCTGTTGTTTTTTCACACTAAGTAAAAATGTAACTCCTTGCCACAACTAAGATATTTCCTCTTTATTATTATTTTTTAGTGTCTAAAAAGCACGGCAAGCTCATTACTTTCTTACGCACATTCATGAAGTCTCGTCCAACAAAACAGAAGCTGAAGCAGCGGGGGATTTTGAAAGAGAGGGTGTTTGGTTGTGACCTGGGGGAGCACCTTCTGAATTCTGGTTTTGAAGGTAAAAATAAAATTTATAATCTCATAATTTCAGTTTTGACCTCTCCATATTGATTTTCTAGAATCCATTTTGAAGCAGATATGCAAGCGATATCTATTCCATTTAAGCTCAGCAGCACGGTATCGAACTTTTCACGTACTCATTTGAATTCTGAGATAACTGAGAATAAAGAAGGTTTAAGAATGCATTTTAGCATCAGAGATGCTTGTGATCTATCTAGGATGAGTAAGACTTTCCCACAAAGGGCACAACTGCACTGTTAGACTTCATTATTTTTATATCTGTCTAGATAGCTTTCTCAGCCAGTTTTCCTCTCACATTTTATTGTAAATTATTTAATTTCTATTTTGAAAAAAAAAGTCAAAGTTTGCGACTATAAAATACCATGACCTGTCTCCCAACTTTTGTTGCTAAAAACTTAAATTTCTTTATAAATTAAAATCTGATTCAAGAATTCAGTGGTTAGATGAATGGATGGAGGGGATGAATGAATAGGAAGAAAGGAAAAAGTTAAATATAATACATAATATTTTAAAGTCTAAGTGCAAACAGAGTAATCACAAGGAAGAATGGTATATTTATATAGTATATACATAGTATGAGGAGAGAGGAGATATAAATATGGATAGCTAGATAGATATAATTATATAATGTGTATAATCATTCTTCCTTATAATATTGTTTTAGTTTGGGCTTTAAAATAGTGTCCTTATTCTATATAAAATTGATTTTGTACCAGGTTTTTCTAAGATGAAAGCTCATTTCAGAGTACTGTTTTGCTAAATGACTCATTCTTTGAATTGTATTCCTAATGAATAATTAACTTTGTAGAGAGATTATCCTGTTAACGCTTTCTAAACTTTTGAGCACCTCCCTGTCGGAGCAAGTGACAAGCCTGATCTGTTTCTTCCATACAAAGTGTTGTAAGAAATCATGTAGGAACCTGACAAAGCATTTAAAAAAAATTCTTTTAGTGATCTCTGATGCCAGGATTACTCAGAATGATCTTAACAGCATTTCAGCTACCACAAACCATAATGCTTATAATCGAGTTGCTTAAAGATTATATCACAATTATCTAAAGAACTGATTTTTTTTTAAATCTTGTCACATAGTACTTTTTTGTAGATAACTTGTCATTTACCTAGGCATCCTTAATTATAGAGTCAGATGTTTTTTGTTATCTTAGGGGTTTTTTTGTTATCTCTTTTTCATTTTTATTTCTTTTATATCTCATTTTGTTCAGCCTTGCTTGGTTGTGATATTAATAAGAAGGAGTGTTTTCTAGTTTGTTCTGTCATGCTCTTCAGTTTTCACACATCAATTCAGCCAGCAAGTTTTAGTTGTACTTAGAAGTTTTGGGTATGTTTCCATTCTTAGTATGGTAGAGGACAGATGACAATATATCATTTTTTTCTGAAAAATAATAGATTTTAATAACTACAGGGTTCATGTATCCCATAACTATGATAAATTTATTCTAGCAGAACAAAGAGTTTTCAGGTATCATTTATTTTTTTATAGGACTTGTTTTATTTGCTGCACATATTTGAAACCAAACTTCCTTAAAACGAGGTTTGAAATGAAATTGCAAAAAAGTGAGACTTTGTAGAAAACTTGGTTCTCTACAAAAAAAACTTAAGAGTTGGTACAAAATACAAAAATTTAAAAACTCAAAGTGAGGAAACTCTGTTGCCTGAACATATTTCTATGTTTGAACAAGTGGCTTTTTAAAAAAACTACTGTAAATATATAGAAAAATTTTTTAAAGATTTTATTCATTTATTAGAGAGAGAGAACACAAGCAAGGAGGAGAGGCAGAGGGAGAGGGAGCAACCCCCCCCGCTGAACAGGGAGCCCGATACGGGACTCGATCCCAGGGGTCTGGGATCATGCCCTGAGCTGAAGGCAGATGCTTAACTGACTGGGCCACCCAGGTGCTCATAAATATACAGAAATTTTATAATCAGAGCACACACTGGGGAAAAAAAAAACAAGGCCCAAATAACCCCTGAAATTAGTCCTTTAGATAGTCATATTTTCCTAACCAAAAATCATAAGTAATACTATACCAGTGTACTCCTCTCCTAGCCCAGAAGCCACCACGTTGACAATGGAAGTTGACTCTTTCATCTGTATCACAGAATGCATGCATATAGAAGGGATGTAATAAATGATTGATGAGTGAGTGAGTGAGTGAGTGAGAGAGAAAAGGACTGAAATGAAACCGCAACTGTCAAGAAAAACCAAAGACCAATTCGTGTCCTACTTAACCGCATACTTTTCTTTGCCATGATTCTAATCTTAAGGGTCATCAGTTTCAATTTAGACATGTACTTCTTATTATGTTGCCATGATGATATAAATACTAAATAAAAGTGGTTCGGGGGGGTGCCTGGGTGGCTCAGTCGTTAAGCGTCTGCCTTCGGCTCAGGTCATGATCCCAGGGTCCTGGGATCGAGTCCCGCATTGGGCTCCCTGCCCAGCGGGAAGCCTGCTTCTCCCTCTCCCACTCCCCCTGCTTGTGTTCTCTCTCTCGCTGTGTCTCTCTCTGTCAAATAAATAAATAAAAACTTAAAAAAAAAAAAAGTGGATCGGAAGTGTATTATTGGAGAGTGTGGGAATAATTCTTAAAGTCCTATCATCTTCTGGAAGAACCAGTTTGGAGGTTTCTAATGCTGTATTTTGACTAAGCCATTGTTTACTGTGCACATGCCTGGATTGTGAGATGGTTTGGAGGGAAAAGATGGCTAATAAGATGGCTTTTCTAAGTAGGATTTCTTCTAATAATGTATTGCATTCCCATATTGCTTTCTTATATGTTAGTGAAAAGAGAAACCAAATCTTTTCTTTTTCTCTTCTGATACTGTTCTTCAGTTTCTACTCTCTTTTCTTTAAAATGAAAGTTTATGCTTTTCTCTTTTGTTTTGCTATCTATTTTAAATAACTATCTCATTTGTCTCTAAAAATTCTAAGTAATAACACTGTTCAGTTGTGTAGTTTTATTTATAAAGGCCCATTATGTGATTATGTGGACATTCATTCTTTTTACCTAGGGAACATAAAATGTAAAGAAACAATTCAGATATTTTCCATGAAGTATTATGTTTGCAGGGCCTTAGCCAAATTATCAGGGAAAGACTTCTAATTCCCCATATTTTTGAAGCTTGCCTACTTGTTTGGGAGAATATAAGCAGGTATGAATTTAATATCACATGTTTGTGAGAGCCCTAAGAAAATTATCTATACTTTTTAATGGATGGTAGCTTATTTTTGTGAAGATTCTATAATGCATACTACGAGAGCCTGATAATACAGAAATAAAACCCTGTATTCTGAAAGGCTTTATGTACCAGGGTGAGTTAGCATGCTAATTTGGAGCATACATAATGAGAAGTATCTTTTAAGAAAAATAATTAAAGCTTTGTTTTCCTTCGTTTAAGTCATTATGTTAGTTACCCAATAATCTCTAAATATATTTGCTTTGAAGTAGGTGATAGAAATTTTCCAGGTTCTAATTTGTTTTACTTCTAGTTTGTAAGGATAGAAACCTAAGGCACTGAGATTATCGATGGAACAATATTAGAAGTAGGACTCAAGTTCATAAAGATATTTTATATTTTGCATGTCAATTTGACATAGAGATTGCTTATAATATCAAAATGAGTCCACAAAAAACACTTGGCAACTCTGCCCACCCTTCATCTCTACCATCTACATGCAGTCCCTTCTTGTTACTAAACTTCTTGGACATCTTTAGAGGTAGAAAGCACACTGTTGAAAATGAATACAGTTTCTTACGAAAAGTAAGATTGCTCTACTCTGCTGACTTGGTCATATAACTTTGTCAGGCTCACAAGGGCACTTATAAATTAATTAATTTGTTAATTTTGTACTTTGTTTCAAGACGTGCTCCTGGATTTTGAATATACAAAGATGGATGAAACATGTTTTTGCTCCTTAAAAGCATGACTAATAAAGGGTAATAGTTGTATAAACAAGCAAATAATATTTCAAAATGACATAGTTCTTTGGGCACCTATAACATAGGGCAGCTACCTCTCCTTGGGGATATTCAAAGAAGGCTTGCTTAAGAGGGATAGTTAAATTAGGTTTTCAACAACAGCCAAGAGTTTTTCTATAAGAAGGTGATAGTAGGAAGAGAGACCAGGGAGAGGAAATTGTTTTTCCTCTACCAGGAAATTGAGGGACTTACAAAATGACTGGTTTGTATGGCAAAAGATGAGACTTCATTTGGCCTAGAGTTGTGAAATATGGAAATATGGTAACAATAAATAAGTGCAACTGTGAAGGACCTTATATTTTAGGCAGTATTTTGCCATGGTTAAAAATCGGCTTTCTCCTTGGACTCCTTGAGTTAGAATCTCATTTCTGCCATTGTTTCCTGCTTGCCCTTAGGTAAAACTTTGTCTCTGTAAGATTCAGTTTCCTCTCTATATATGTAATGGGGGTAATAATAGAGCTTTTCCTGTAAATTTCTGTGAGAATTAAATGAGAGCATCCATTGTAAAAAACTTAGCTTGGCATATATTACATGCTCAATAATATAGTTGATTTAAAAAATAATTCAAAGCTAGGGAGTATAAATTTTAAATGTAAATTAGAGGATCTGACAGAATTTAAAAGATAGAATGTAGGAAGAACAGCAAAAGGCAGGAGAACCAAGAAAAATCTGTTACAATAATAAAGTAGTGTTTTATGCAATAAGTAAAGTACATTAGCTAAAATTAACTTATTAAAATATTTTAATTTTTTCATTTCCCAATCTGAATGTTTCATCCCTTGTGCGGTAGTTTTCTGTAGACCAAATAATGTTCTCCCAACCTTCTTTTCAGGGATTTTAACTAACACTGTCAAATGAACATAGTTACTAAATCCTGATGATGAAGTAAATTCATCAGTCTGCGTTATAAGACAAATAGGTTCAAATTTCAGCTACTGTACAGTTTTGAGTGATTATGAAAAATTTTTAATTTTATACCTCAAACAGTCTTTTCTAGACTATAGGCCCAGAATAGCTGTCCATTTGTGTCAGGTATTCAATGAGGTAACCAGAAAGAGTACCCTTCTTTTCTTTCTACTTATTGAGGAGCTGATAGTATTAAGTCAAAACATTTTTTTTAAAAGATTTTATTTATTTATTTGAAAGAGAGAGTACGAGCTGGGGGAGCGGCAGGCAGAGGGAGAGGGAGAAGCAGGCTCCCTGCTGAGCAGGGAGCCTCATGCGGGGCTTGATCCCAGGACCCTGGATCATGACCTGAGCTGAAGGCAGCCGCTTAATGACTGAGCCACCCAAGCACCCCAAAACAGTTTTAATGTAAAGCAATTTTAATGTAAAGATAGGCAGGAAATCAAAAGATTCCTTCTACTTGAAATTGCTTTGACCTTTGCCTTATGTCAGTGTTTTGTTTATTGGATAAAATTTAGAATTAGCATTAACTATGAAAAGATGGAAGAAGCTTTTCAAAGTGAGAAATTGGAGCAGTTATAGGCAATTATCATGTTGGAATAAGCATTAACTTTGTATCCATTTTCCATGTATGAAATTCAGCTGAACAGCTGTATTTTTTTTTTTTTAAAGTCTCGTATGGTGTTAGGACAAAACAGTTCGTCTTAGTGTTGTAACATGACCTAAACAAGACTGCTGCAGAAGAACTTAGAGAGACTGTCCTAATAATGTACGAATTCTTTCACTTAGCTAAATGTAATGGGAGAGAGCCTGCCTTGATATTCAGGAACCAGTTGTCTAGTTTATTTTTATTTATTTTTTTAAGATTTTATTTATTTGACAGAGAGTGAGAGAGGAAACACAAGCAAGGGGAGTGGGAGAGGAAGAAGTAGGCTTCCCGCAGAGCAGGGAGCCTGATGTGGGCTTGATCCCAGGACCCTGGGATCATGACCTGAGCCGAACGCAGACACTTAACAGCTGAGCCACCCAGGCACCCCTAGTTGTCTAGTTTAGATGTGAAAATAAGTTAAATATGTCCTCATCACTTTTTGTAGTAAATTAATCTCTGCCCCTTATAATTTTAATTTACCAGATTTTATTTTGCTTGTGAACACTAAGACATTCTCACTTTTTTTGTGACTTCGTTGTGATGGAATACTCCTGGTTTAACCATGTCTTTAAAAATTCTCTTTAGTGCCCCAGGTTCTTCAGAGCTGTACAGCATTCATTGAGAGATATGGCATTGTGGATGGAATATATCGTCTCTCTGGCGTTGCCTCTAATATCCAGAGACTACGGTAAAACCTTATTTGGCATTTTCTTTTTCATTCCTATTATAATTTATTAACGTGAAATGATTTCAAAAATAAGTCACATTGATAACCATAATTTTCAGTAATACAGTTTAGATAAAGTAGGAGATAATATCCATAGTGTTCTCTGTAAATGTTTTCCTGAATGCCATTTTTTCATCTGTTGTATCAGAAAACCATGTCCCCTTAACCTCTTCAGTACTTGTATTTTGCCTCGTTGCAGTATTTGAAGATTTTAGCAAATTTTGAAGTTTGAATCCATGAAGACAATGAGAGATGAAAATTTACATTATAATAGAATTATTCCTTAGTTCTTAATTAAAGTCAACAAGTGAAACATTCTGTTGAACCACCCTTGCAACCCATGAATAAATCCTACTTGATCAGGGTGAATGATTTTGGTAAATGTCCTGTCGGATTCATTTTACTAGTGTTTTATTGAGAATTTTTTCTTCTATATTCATCAGGGATATTGGCCTGTAGTTCTCTTTTTTAGTGGATTCTTTATCTGGTTTTAGAATCAGGGTAATGCTGGCCCCACAGAATGAGTTTGGAAGTTTTCCTTCCTTTTCTGTTTTTTGGAATAGTTTGAGAAGAGTAAGTATTAACTCTTCTTTAAATGTTGGTAGAATTTACCCTTGAAGCCATCTGGTCCTGGATTTTGTTGGGAGATTTTTGATTACTGATTCAATTTCTTTCCTGGTTATCAGTCTGTTCGAGTTCTCTGTTTCTTCCAGTTTCAGTTTTGGTAGTTTATATGCTTCCAGGAATTTATCCATTTCTTCCAGATTGTCCAAATTGTTGGCATATAGCTTTTCATAATATTCTCTTATAATTGTTTGCATTTCTATGGTGAAACTTCTTCTAATCTCCTTTAACCCCAGTGCTGTAGCGTATGCTCAAGTGTGTATGTGCTATGTATTTTACATCCTCTCCCCTTCTCAGAGACAAAAATAGTGGTCTCCTTTATATGAGCAATAGAAATTTTATTTTTGCTTAATCTCTCAGATTCTAGTCTATTCTTAATATGTTCTTATCCTTTATTTTTCACTGTGGTGCCTGGTAATTGCCATTATTCCATGCAGATTTTAGTATTCCATTTTTTTTTAAAGATTTTATTTATTTATTTGAGAGAGAGAGAATGAGAGATAGAGAGCACGAGAGGGAAGAGGGTCAGAGGGAGAAGCAGACTCCCTGCTGAGCAGGGAGCCCGATGTGGGACTCGATCCCAGGACTCCAGGATCATGACCTGAGCCGAAGGCAGTCGCTTAACCAACTGAACCACGCAGGTGCCCAGATTTTAGTATTCTAATTGGCCATAGAGCTATCTCTATTTTCAAGAATACATGTTTGGAAAATACTTAAATTGATTCTTGTGCTAAAGACAGTGTCAGTCTTTAGTTTCAGCTGCAGCAGATCTCATATTCACATTGTCCACATATACTAATCCTCTAGGTTGATAAGTAGTCCCATATCTGTAGATTAATATTAATTAACCTCCTGGAGAATGAGCCTAACCTGCCTTAGTATTCTAAGCACAACTTTCATCTCACTCAGTTTACACTATGATTTTGCTGGCTATTAAAATTTGGTTAGCTAGAAATTGCTTTATATTATTTCTGGCCCCTTTACCTTTCTTCAGTAAAGTATTCCTGAACTATACTTCTTGTACCTGAGGGATTTCTGTACAGAGTTGCTCATGGACCAGCTGCCATTCAGCCCTAGTTTGCAGAATTGCCAAAATTTTGGATATTCAAACCATTAGAATTAGGAATTCTGTTTTTAGATCTGTGTGTTAAGAACTGCTCATCCATATGCATTTCAGAGATCATTGTCCATTTTAATATTAGAACTGTGCCCATAATTTCCACTTAGAAAAACATTTGTCTTATGAACAGACATCCAGTTACTGCTGGATGTCCAAACATAACTTAGATAAAATACAATCATTTGACTAAAACATTAACTTTGCTTTCTGTTTTAAGTCATATATTTGCTTTTTCTTCAATAAAATAATGCTGTTTTGTCTCTCGTTTGTCTTTGTTAGCCATGAATTTGACTCTGAACATGTCCCCGACTTGACAAAAGAACCATATGTTCAGGACATCCATTCCGTGGGCTCCCTCTGTAAGCTGTATTTTCGAGAGCTCCCAAACCCTCTGCTTACCTACCAGCTGTATGAGAAATTTTCTGTGAGTAAGGTCATTTTTAATCAAATTCTCTTGGGAGTTTTGCTGTGATTTTAGTCAAAACATGTAAAGATTTGCTTTGGTCATGTAAGAAATAGTTCTGTGACTAAAATATCTCCTTTAAAGACAACAAAAAAGCAGTTATTGCTAGCTAGTCCATAGTCTTCACTGTTTCCACATTTTCTTTCTTTTAGTTTCTGACTTTGATCCACTAATCTTATCACCTTTAATATTGGTTACCATAAAGTTTTAAAAAGTTATCTTTTAATAGATTTCAATGTCCACATAGTATGGAAACAAAGTTTACTTTCTTGATACTCTGTGTTTCCTTGTCGTTCAGCATCAAAGAGTAGAGTGAAAACTGAATTGTAAGTGAAGAATTTTCATTTTTACCAGCAAAACCTACTGGTTTATTTCACATTATGATTGTTGCAGGATGCTGTTTCAGCAGCAACAGATGAAGAAAGGCTGATAAAAATTCATGATGTCATCCAGCAACTCCCCCCTCCACACTACAGGTAAGTCTCATGCTTTAAGATATCACCCAAAAGTACAAGTCAGTTGATGTGAAGAGTGGTTTTTTCCTCTAGGTTTCTAACTAAGTTTCCGTGGAGTTCTATATAAACTTCATTTGTTCAGGCGTTATGTTTATTTGTCATTGTATCCCAAGGCCTGGCACAGTGCTTGGCATTCAATAGGCACTTAGTAAATGTTGAATTAATGAATGAATAAATGAACAAATGAATAGTTGATTCAACCTGTTTTGTTGTTTTCTTTGTCTTTTGAGCCACTGAGAAATACTGGGGTGTATGATCACAAGTGTGAATATTGACTTGTGATTGCTTGAGTCCAACATATGGACACAGTACTGGATTCCAGTTTACTTGATTCCTTTTTTTCCAACCCTCTTTTCTTTTTCAAAAGGTATCCAAACTACATAGAACCACAAAATCTAACAGGTATCTCACAATTCTTCCTCAGGAGACTCTCAGATGATCAATAAACTTGTTTTTTGGGTGTTTTTTAGGTTTTGTTGTTATTCATTGGTTTTGTTGTTGCTACTTTTTAAGACTAAATTTAATTTGTATGTTAGTTTGGACTCTCAGAAATATTTTTGCTCATATCTGAGAAGACCAAAATAAAATTGAAGATGACTGCCATTTAGTGAGAAAAAGAAAACAGTATAAATTATAGATGATGATATGCAAAAAAGCAAAAGGTAAAATTTTAAAATTTCAGTTACTGAAAAAAAATTAAATGCAGTAGATGTTTTAGTAATACACAAATAATTTAGTGCTTTCTTTTTCAAAATGGCCTTGGTCATATATAGTTATATTTGCAAATGACACTACAGATAAAGGGCTGGTATCCATGATCTATAAAAAACTTCTCAAACTCAACACCCAAAAAACAAATAAGTCAAAAAAATGGGCAGAAGACATGAACAGACACTTCTCTAAAGAAGACATACAAAGGGCTAACAGACACATGAAAAAATGTTCATCATCATTAGCCATCAGGGAAATTCGAATCAAAACCACACTGTGATACCACCTTATACCAGTTAGAATGGCAAAAACTGACAAGGCAAGAAACAACAAATGTTGAAGAGGTTGTGGAAAAAGGGGAACCCTCTTACACTGTTGGTGGGAATGCAAGTTGGTACAGCCACTTTGGAAAATATTGTGGAGGTGCCTCAGAATATTAAAAATAGAGCTACCCTATGACCCGGCATTTGCACTACTGGGTATTTACCCCAAAGACACATGTCGTGAAAAGAAGGGCCATATGCACCCCAATGTTCATAGCAGCAATGTCCACAATAGCCAAATGGTGGAAAGAGCCGAGATGCCCTTCAACAGATGAATGGATAAAGGAGATGTGGTCCTTATATACAATGGAATATTACTCAGCCATCAGAAAGGGTGGATACCCAACTTTTACATCAACATGGATGGGACTGGAGGAGATTATGCTAAGTGAAATAAGTCAAACAGAGAAAGTCAATTATCATATGGTTTCACATTTGTGGAACATAAGGAATAGCATGGAGGACATTAGGAGAAGGAAGGGAAAAATGAAGGGGGGGAAATCGGAGGGAGAGATGAACCATGAGAGACTATGGACTCTGAGAAACAAACTGAGAGTTTTAGAGGGGAGGGGGGGATGGGTTAGCCTGGTGATGGGTATTAAGGAGGGCACGTACTGCATGGAGCACTGGGTGTTATACGAAAACAATGAATCATGGATCACTACATCAAAAACTAATGATGTATGGTGACTTACATAACACAATGAAATAAAATTAAAATAAAACAGCATATATCTGGCACTAAATCAACACTAAAATTCTTTTTTAATTTAGTTAACTAATATCTACATCCAGTGTGGGCCTTGAACCCATAATCCTGAGATCAAGAGTCACACACTCTTCTGACTGAGCCAGCAAGGCACCCCTAAAAGTTTTAATCAACATTAAAAATCAGCATTTTTTTAAGTCCACACTATAGCTATAAATCATGATGATCAAGACCCAGAAAGTAACTTAGCATTGCCTCATTGTGCCATGAATGTGTCCGGTCTGGTTTTTTTTATTTTTTATTTTTTATATTTTATTTATTCATGAGAGTCAGAGAGAGAGAGAGGCAGAGGCAGAGGGAGAAGCAGGCTCCTCGCCTAGCAGGAAGCCTGATGGCGGGACTCGATCCCAGGACTCTGGGATCATGACCTGAGCCAAAGGCAGACACTTAACCGAGCCACCCAGGCACCCCTAATGTGTCCTGTCTTAAGAGGAATGTGGGGAATTTAAAGAAGTTCTTAAGAACCCACTGAAGAGTGAAAAAAATACAACACAAAAGAGCTTTTGTGAAGGAAGCTCAAGAAATTCAGGTATTCAACCCGAAAAAGAAGGCTGAGGAGACAAATCTGATAACACACAGTTATTGAAGAATATTTTAAGGAGGAAAAAGACTTTTTTTTTTAAGTTACTAGAAAAAGAAACCTAGTGCCGTATAACAAATATTAGCTTTGATAGATCTGAGTTTGAATTTGCAACTTCATCACTTCCTTCATGACCTCTCCAAACATTAATCTCCATATCTGTGAAAAGAATACTAATAATACTTTCTTAAGAGGATTTTTTTTTTTGATGTTAAAATGAGATCCAATGTGCAAATGAGTCTGGTCCTTAGTATTTTTTTTTAATATAAAGCATAGCAAGACAGATGGTTAGAATTAAGCCAAGACTTCTTGACTTGGTAGTTGTAATAGGAGGTATCATGTAAATATATCTTTATTCTCTAAATTAAGAAAAAAAAGACCAATATAACATATATGTACATCATTTTAAAAAGTCAAATGGTCTGCATAGTTGCTAGTGAAAAATAAGTTTCCTGCCTCACAGCTCCCCTTTCTGATTTCTCCTCAGCTTCTGTTTCTGAATAACATGCTTATGTTTTTTATTTTTTATTTTTCATTTTTAGATGTTACTTTTACCTTCCTTTTATAAGTAAGTGAAATTTAGCTTTCTTTACCCACCCACCCCAGTACCACACAAACACACATTTCCCCTTCTCTGGTCTTCATAGTCTGGGTACGTCAGCATTTGGAGTTAAATCAGTATTCACTGTCTATATTGTAATAACTTTGTAACTGTGTTTTACAACTGCACATGATATATACTAGACTTCTCTTTCCTTTCTGGGATAACTTTGTGTTTGTGGAGCAGTTGCCCATTTTTGGCTTGCTAAGTTCCTGTTCGTCACTAGTTTACCCCTGAAACTCTCTCACAGGACTGACTACATATGTTCTCCCAGTGTGTTCAGACTTATCAGACAAGCTTGCTTGCTTTCTTTCTTTCTTTCTTTCTTTCTTTCTTTCTTTCTTTTCTTTCTTTCTTTCTTTCTTTCTTTCTTTCTTTCTCTTTCTTTCTTTCTTTCTTTCTTTCTTACTTCCTTCCTTCCTTCCTTCCTTCCTTTCTTTTCTTTCTTTTCTTTCTTTTCTTTCTTTTCTTTCTTTTCTTTCTTTCTTTTTCTTTTTTTTTTTCCCATGCAAACATCCCTCCTGGAGCCTTTTATCCCACTACTCAGTCCCTCAGTCCAGGCTGATTGCTCTCTAGATCTACAACACTTTCAACTCTTCCCCCTCATTTTGGAAATTCTCTTCATTGCCTCCTGCACGAGTTGGATCCTTCTTTTTGGGATCTCTTGCCGTCACCTCCCTTGTGTGTACTCCCTGCTTTGTAGTAGACATCTTTGGTAGCTTCTTGAGGAAAGCTATGAGGGAGGTAAATGTTTTGAGACATTGATATAGAAATGCTCTTATTCTACTCTTGCATTTGGTTGATAACTATAGAATTTTAGTCTGTAAATAATTTTTTCTCATAATTTTGGTAATATCACACCATTGTCTTCTAAGCAAAAATGCTGCAGTGATATCTGATTCTAGTCTGCTAGTTCTTAATATGATGTATTTTGTTTTGTCTGTATCCTTTCTGGATGCTTTTATACTTAGAACATACCTAGTGTTCAATTTTCACATTGACTTGTCTTGGAGTGGCTTCTTTTTCTTTGCTGTGGGCACTCGGTGGGCCTTTTCCATCAGGGAACTTCCATTTTTCTTGTTATTATTTCCTCGATGGTTCTCACTGCAACTTAAACTCCAGCCCTTTTCTCTATTCTCTTACTGGATTTATTGTAGTTCTTGAACCAACTCTTTCATTTCTTACCTTCACTTTGTCAGTTTCCACGTACGGATTTCCTCCAGGCCATTTCTTGGTTTAAAAGAAAATGATTTCCAAGAACTCCCTTTCTTGTTCCTCTGAATGCTCCTACTTTATAGCATCCTTCTCTTATCTCATGGATATAATCTCTTCTATGAGAATATTACTGGTAATTATAGGTTTTGTTTTAAATTGTTCTCTGTTTGTCACAGTATTTGTTCCTTCCTCATTTGGCACCTCTATCAAGACTGCAAAATATTCAACAGATTTCATAGGAGCAAGAAACAAAAATTCTTTTTTTAAAAGTCATATTTTATAAGTGTGATAGCATTTAACTTCATTGTGAATTAAAATAATCTTGCATAAACAGAGAAACACTTAAAATTGGCTTTAGGTAAACCTGCTTAAAATTTAAATTATATTTAATTTAAAAGTGGTTTAGGGAGAGAAACCTATAGGCAAACATACTTAGAGTGCCTTAGACACCAATCAGTACATTTTACAGAGGGAATCGAGAGTACTGGTTAATGTTGTGGGTGAATTAAGAGGATGTCAGTAAGAAGAGATATATATGGAGAGAGTGTATATGCATGTGTGTGTGTGTATTTATATATATAATGGAGAGTATGTATGTATATATACCATGTATGTATATATTTCTCATATGGTGAAGTACATATATCTCCTGTATATTTTATATTTTATATAAATAAATCTCCCAACATATATTTTATTTATATCTCTTATATATTTATCCCCTGTTGTATAGTACATTTATGTTACCTATTATATATAATGTCTATGTTTTATAGGCATTATAATGTAGGGACTTTGGAGCCAAATTGCCTGTATTAGCTATATGACCTTGTGACCTTGGGCAAATTCCTTTGCCTCTTGGGCTCAGTTTCATTGTTTGTGAAATAGAGAATACTGGTACTTTTCTATTAGGATTATTATGAATATTAAAGGAATAGCACTTAGAACAAGGCCTGTTATATAAGTGCTATTTATGAGTTAATTACCCCTATTATTATGATGTATATCTATGCATTTACTTTTTTATCTATAGTGTGTATGTATAAATGTGTGTGCATATATGCTCACATACATATGTATCTCCTATAGACACAAGAAAATACTATTTTTAATCATGTTTAAATAAAGTACTGATAGCATTTAACTTCAGAATGAATTAAAATAACCTTTCATAAACATTGGCTTTCAGTAAGCTTATAATATATATTGATACATATAACTTTTCTACTATATTATGTTTATCTCCTCTAACTACATTCATATTTTTCCTACATCATATACATCTTCTTTATTATATAAATATAGATATTTCTCAATAATATATAGTTATTACCCTTACTAATTGCATATGTAGCTTCCTTACTATTTATCTATTTAATCTTCCCTATTGGACATTGTATACTTTTACCTGCTATTTATTATATATTGTATATCCTACTATATGTTCTCTCTCTATATATATATATATTTATATGGATATATATAGTATTGCCTACTTTATGTATAATCCCTTTAAAACACAAGCTCTTTAAGGTCATGAATTTTGTCATTTATCACTGTAGTCTCAGAATAGAACCTTGCACATAGTAAATGTTCAATAATATATATTGCATATACATTTTATATATTTTGTTCAACATATACTTTGTAGCTTGCTGATATGTGTGTGTATATATATATGTATATGTACACACATATGTATATCCTAATATTATCTTCTGTATTTCTAATATATTACCTACAGTGTATGCCCACATGTTTTATATATATAGTTTACTATACACATATCTCCTAGCCTATATTATATACAATTTCTTGTGATATATCTCCTACTATATAATATGTTTTTATATTCTAGCTTCTTCTACATAATTTGAGTGTTAATCTCCTTTAATATATCTCTTTGCATCCAAACTTTTTAAGATTTTAATATTCACATTTCCTAGTTCCTTAAATGTTCTTGAAAAAACATGATTTTTAATAGTGTTCTCTTATGTGAATGGGCTATATGTTATTTAACCTTTTCCCTAATTTGCTTGTTTGTTTTGTTTCTTAAATTCCACATATGAGTGAAATCATATATTATTTGTCTTTCTCTGACTTATTTCGCCTAGGCTTTTACTCTCTAGCTCCATCCATATTGTTGCAAATGGCAAGAGTTCATTCTTTTATGGCTGAATAATATTCCAGTGTATGTATATACCACCTCTTCTTTATCCATTCATCTATTGATGGACACTTGGGCTGCTTCCATAATTTGGCTATGGTAAATAATGCTGTAATAAACATTAGGGGTGCATGTATCCCTTTGAATTAGTGTTTTTGTATTTTGGGGTAAATACTCAGTAGTTTCATTATTGGACTATAAGGTAGTTCTATTTTTAACTTTTTGAGGAACCTCCATGCTGTTTTCCACAGTGGCTGTACTAGTTTGCATTCTATGGTGGGTTTTTTCTCTCTCAGTTTTGAACATTACTGTAAGGACCATCCATTTACATGAATCTTTTTGGGAATCTAGATTTTTTTTTTTTTTTTGGCTGAAAACCTGAAAGTGGAATTCTTAGATATCAAAAGGTACTAAAATTTTTTCTCAATATACAGCAATTTCCAAATTGTATTCCATGAAGATTTATGCAGTTTGTACTCTGCTGAATATGAAAATGCTCATTTCATGGGACTCTGACTAAAATTCTCCATAAGCTTTTATATAAAAACATTTTTACAATTAGATATGTGAGTAAAATGCTATCTTTGGTGGTTTGATTTGCATTTCTTCTGAAGTACTTAAGTATTTCCCTTCCTTCATATACCCCCCACTCAAAATAATATAACTTTATACATTTTCTAAACACATTTCTTAAGCTTCCCACCTTTACATTGTCTCCAGACCAGCCTCACTTCTGTCTGTCTGTCTGTCTGTCTGTCTGCCTGCCTTTCCTACTTAAGTATGTATAGGAGGGACCAAGAAGTACCATTTGTACTATAGAGCAGCTGCAGTAGATGCTGTTGAATGAGAGACTGTGGAGCCAGGCTGCCCTTGATTTGGGAGTAACCTGAGCACACTTTGGCTTTCTCCTCCATAAAGTGGGGAGTGGTAGCCCTGTGCAGGTAGGGCTGTTGTGAGAACTTGATGAGATCCCTGTAGAAAGCCTCTTGAGTGGTGCTTCTAGCTGCTGTCTGCATTTTCTTCTCAGATTCACGTTGGGCACATCTTGGTCTTTGAGGCTCATATGCTGACCACTATTTCACTTTTGTTACTGTTGCAAATAACAGTCTTAAATTTCTGTCTCCCATATACTGTCCTTAATAGTTTCAATCCCTATACAGGTAGGTAGGGACACTTGGAGAGATGTAGGAGCTGCTAGGTAATACCTCTTTGTGTTTCTCTCTTATAACTTGCATTTAAGCTGATCATGCTTTCTTTTCCAAAAATGTTCTGCTTTCTTATTTAATATCCACCCCCCTCTCTCTCCATATGTATGTATGTGTGTGTATATGTATATATATACACATATAATTGCTCAACTCTTCTCTCCCCATGGTGCCCAATGCAATTTTTCTTTTTACCTTTTAGGCCTGTGAAGTACTGTTTTCTTTTATAAAAGAAAAGTTTAAATCCCCTCCTGTTAGTGTCTGCTGCAAGTAGAATAACATAACTTTCATGTCTAGAAACTAGCTTTTATGGAGGATTTACTTCATTGGTGTCTTTGAAACTAGATGTCTGACAGCCAGGAGCAAATATTCTAAAGATTTTTAAAAACTAAGGCCGTTTTCTTGGAACAAATCCTGTCAGAAATGTTAATTTCTTACTGCATCTACCTTAGACTTTTTTTTCTTAGAGTTCTATAGATGTGATTACTGTATATAGAATATAGAATTCATAAGATTTTCCTGACACTTCTGGGGTAATAGTATTCAGACCTAAGAAGCAACAAAAAATTTTGTTGGAGTTTGTATGGTTTCCTTTTCTATTTTTCCGTTGAAATCTTAAAAATTAATTAGAAGAACTTTATGCTCTATTCTGCTACATACTGTTTCTTTTCATTAATATGTTATATTGCATTTTCCAGAACGCTCGAGTTCCTGATGAGACACTTGTCTCTTCTAGCTGACTATTGTTCCATCACAAATATGCATGCAAAAAACCTCGCAATTGTTTGGGCTCCAAACCTGCTAAGGTAAGTTGCATTTGACTTATGACCTTAAGTAGAACCAGTCATCTTATATCAGAGTCTAATTCATCAGTGTTCCTTAAGGACAGTTTTTATTTTTTTATTATTTTTTAATGTTATTTATTTTTATTTTATTTTATTATGTTAATCACCATACATTACATCATTAGTTGTTTTTATTATTATGTTATGTTAATCACCATACATTACATCATTAGTTTTTGATGTAGTGTTCCATGATTCATTGTTTGCGTATAATACCCAGTGC